TGTCTGTCCTTTTTTTTTTTTCATATCCTTGTTCTTTTTCTTATTTTCCTCCTTTTCCTCCTCCTCCTTCTTCTCACCAAGTACCCCCTGTTCTCTTTTCCTTTTGAAATGCCTGGTCATCCGAGAGAATGAGAAGAAGTAGGACATACCAGTGACACCCTCCAACCACCCGCGATTGTGGGTGTTAATAATATTAATATCCTGATGGGCGTGGACAGTGGGGAGTCGTGTGACGTCACGATAGAGGGCGGAAAGCGCTCCAGGGCCGCGACGCTTCAATAGATGGCTGTTGCATGATGTATCGATTTTCATCAAGACCCTGTTTGACCCTATCCATACGTCCTGGGGTCATTTTGTACCCCCGGGGTTGTATTCTTCACATTTTAGAATACTTCTAGTACCAAGATGTCTTTGACAGACTTCTATGCAAAGAGTACGGATTGGATTAACGAGTAAATTTCCAGTTTGGAAAGTGGTGGCACAGAGTTCCCCACGTCGTATGGATACGATAGTAAAACACGACGTACGGATAGGGTTAATATAGGACCTAAACAGAGTATTTTTAAATTATGAGATCAATTTTTTAAAAGTTTTTTTGGGGGGTTTGTATGTTTTTTGTTGATCGCTGGTCTACAGGAGTGCCATATTCAAGGTTTCATGCGTATTTGAAAATTAATTTTAATTATGAGCTAGAATTTTTTTTTAAGGCTGAAAGATGAAAGTAAAGAGGTTGTCATATCCCATCTCCTTTAAGCCCTGTTATTTTAGAACGACCTTACAATGTTTCTATGAGGTTTAAACCTATACCGTACGGTCCATGTCTTTAGCCTGAAGTCATGTCATTTTAAAATGATCATGGGTGGGTGGCAGGTGCTCTGGTGTGGTTTGCTTCTTCCTTCCCATCAAACATCTGTTGTCCTTGTCTCCCCTCCTTTTTTGTGTATGTTACTCTCTTGTAACAAGTAATCTATTCTATGGCATGACCTTATTTTGTTGCAAATGCCATAAAACTCAAACTAAAACTAAACTTTTAAATGACTTTACAATGTTTGTATGAGGCTTGAACCTATACCATACAGTCCATGTCTCTAGCCTGAAGTCCTGTTGTTTTTAAATGACCTTTCAATGTTTCTGTGAGGTTTGAACCTATACCTTACGGTCTATATCTCTAGCCTGAAGTCCTGTTACTTTTTAATGACCGTGGGTGGTTGGCGGGTGCTCTGGTATTGTTTGCTCCTTACCTTCCCTCTTTCTTTTTTGTGTATGTTACTCTCTTGTAACACATATTCTATTCTTTAGCATGAAAGTGCCGTAAAACTCTTACTAAAACTAAACTTTTAAATGACCTTACAATGTTCGTGTGGGATTTGAACCTGTACCCTCCACTTGGTGTCCCCAGCCTGAGGTCCTGTTATTTTTCAAAATGACCTTACAATGTTTGTGTGGGATTCGAACCTGTACTCTCCGCTTGGTGTCCCCAGCCCGAGGTCATATTCGTCCTGCGACGGTTGGTCCTGTCTCCGTCAGAGATCTGTGGCCTGGTCCTGGGCCCCTCGTGTGGCGAACCCTACGACCCCTGGGACGGCTGGAATGTGACGCTACCCTCTGTGCCACAACCGCCGCCTGTCTACCCCAGCCCGCCCAAGGTAAAGGGGTGTGTGTGTTTGTGTGTGTGTGTG